TCATACAGGTGGATGAAGCAGGAAGACAAGGTGGGAAGCTGGGACATCCCAGGCGGGAACACAGCAGGGCACCCCAACTTGAAGTAATGTCTCTCATGACTTCCATGACCCTTACTTATACGGTGTACTAACCATGTCTGTTAGTCCTATTTCTGAAGAGAAAGGTCAGTCTCTCATAGCCCACCATTACCACCACAAAGCCCAATGGATCCACAGTAAGCAATTCTGGGTAGCCAATGCCAAGACTTAACTTCGTTCTTGGACTTCTTGGTATGAGAGGGCATATTTATGAGCTATGGGCACAATAACTCCAGGGTAACACTTAACTACAAAACTTAATGAGCATGAGCTCCAGTGCAGTGGCCCAAACATCACATGGCCACACCCAGCACCAACAGTGTTGCGATGGGATAGGGTATATAGAGGTCTGACAAAGGAAGCTGTAATAACTTGACTCACCCCGTGTTATGATGCTTTTCCTTGGCTTCTTCCTGGGGTAAGATAGGAAGAATAAGCTTTAGGTAATGGGAAATACCATGGTACTGATTTGCAAATGACAGATGTGAGAACATTGGGCTGGAATAAATTCTAATGAACTCTTAGATATAAATTTTTGGCATGAAGGGGATTCGACTAATATGACAACGTTGAATCCTTCCTGTTAAGGTTCTAGTTTTATCCCCTGAACAACTAGTCGGGATAAAACTGGTAAGAAAACTGGTCTGAAGTTTATCATTCCCCACAATCAGTTGGAAACTTTCAGACCTTCTCAAAAGTTAGTCTCTGGCATTTAAGTCTGCAAATGGATTGCTATTTTAAATAAAGAGATTTATTAGTATTATAAGAAAAGGATACAATATCCCTATGCTCAGACCCCCAACAGATCTAATACTACTAAGACATCTCACAGGGAATGATCTTGCTTGTATTCCATTCTTAAGGGAAAGGGCTGATTTTTGCCTTTATTTTTGATGAGAGGAAAGCAGGAAACAGATACATCTCTGAATCTGCCTGTCAGAATCGCAATCCTTTATTTCCTTGACCTCCGTTTTCCAGTGAAGCAAGTTCTTGCCTACTACTAGTGTCCTCCCTAAGGTCACCTTTGGGAGGCAGCTGTGTGAGAAAGAAGTGGGTCTTCTGCATCTGCTGTTTTACTGAGAGGACAGAGACCGTTGTTCCAGGCTCCCCTGGTGTTTTCCCTGCAACCTCTGTGAGCAGCAAGAGGCCTGCTTTGTGGAATATGGCAGGGCATGGTGAGTGAGATGGAAAGCGCTGGTAGGGAGCCCGGCTTCTCTTCAGAAATAGTAATCTATTGCCACCTGGTGGCCGTGTTTGGAACAGCAAGAATTTCGAGTCTAAGATTTGTCCCAGGAGACTTGTCCCAATACAAACCGTTCTGTCCACCTTGATTAATTTCTTCAATATTAGAATATTTTCATCTTATATCAAAGGAGAAGGGACCATTTGACGATCATCTGAGGAATGTAACTATCTTTAGGAGAAACGTTTGTAATTTCCGGAGCCCTGCCTGGTATGCAGGCTAGAACCAAGCCTCCCCTGCTACTCTCTCTAACCCTTTCCTGTATCCCAGGGGTGAGTGTTGTCTGCCGGACTTGGGGGGTTGATGTAGCTGTGGTCTCCCAGAGAACGGAAGAAGTGATTTGGGGAACTATCCGTAAAGTACATAAACACACCGAGTGAACCCTAATTCTCACTTCCGAAAAGCCGATGAATGGAAGGGCAAGCGACGCTTTCTCCCCTACCTTCGTCTCAGGAGACAGACGTTTAATCAGTGTGCACTTGCTTTTTTTTTTTTTTTTGGTCGTAAATTAGATACTTAAAATAGATCTTAAAGAGCTAGCTAAAATGAACCAGCCCCGTAGCTCTAAATTACCTTTCCTGGAGGCTAAAAATGCTAAATGCGTCACACACAAAAAAAGATTGACGTTTCTGATCTATTCACCTTGACGTGGACCTTATTCTATGTATAAAAACCGCCTCCACCGTCCGTTTGGGCATCTCTTCCACATCCACGCTTCTCCCACCCCCGTGTTTCCCTTGGCCAAGGAGGCTTAACCGCAATTCGGTTGGAATCTTTAAACTTCCCTGGGGGAAAGGGCATGTTTGTAGGCGGAGGGTCGTGTTCTCCCGTCTCCGCCATCCTGGACTTAAGGGAAATTGGTCCTCGGAAGAGAGAAAGGGCTTGCCGACTGCGGGCAGCAGCCTCTCAAACCACCAACTTGGAGGCGGAGAACGGAGGGGTCGCACAGCGCCACCTCCTCCATCCGCATCTGGTGTCGGCGTCTTCTTCCTTCAAAGCGCTAAACCTTAGATCAAATGCAAGCCAAACAGCTGGGCGGACACCACTCCTTTCTGGCCCACCCTTCATCTCCGGTTCGAGTCCCTGGGGAGGACTTCTTTTTTCCACCACCATTATCCAAAACATCTTCTCTACGCCCAAAGAATAATAAAAGATGAAAAGAGGAATGGAACACAAAAATATAGGTCCCAAATGTTCTGAAAGGGCCAAAAGACAACCACAGACACCCTCAAACCAAATCCTTATCGGGGAACGGAAGGGATGACCTAGCAAGACAGCCCTTTCCGCAGGGAGCAGAGGGGGCCGAGACCTAGGGGCAGAAACGGGAGCGCTGTCCGCGGTGCTGAAATGCCCGGGCCCGTCCTCCAGCTACTGGGGCTGCATGGTATTCTGGGCCCTTACCAACCCCACTGAGCCCATGAGGCTGCGCTGAAGTGGGAGGTAATTGAAAATTGAATCAGAGCCTTCAAGTTCCAAGTCTGCCACTCTCCTTCCTAAACTGGAATGTCAACTCCAGGTGTTCAGAGTACTAGCCATCTATGCAACCATGAGCACTGTGTCTGGCACATAGTAGGTGGTTAATAAATTGTCGTCTAGCCAATTAACAATTAACAAACGTTTTAAAATGAACAATGAGCTTTCGTTCCCCGGTGTCACTCCACCATGAAGGAGAAAGGAGGCACACCGGTTTTAATTTGTGATGCCTAATTGTGTTGAAGACGCCCTGGTGGTGTCGTGCTGCGAGCCGCGCGGTCAGCAGTTGGAAGCCACCCACCAGCATCTCCACGGGGCGAAAAGCTGGCCTTTCTACTCCGTAACAGTTACATTCCTGGAAACCCACATGGGGTCGCTATGAGTTAGCATTGAGTTCCCGGGTTTTAATTGTGTAGAAGATACTCCCTTTCCCACCGTCCCACCTCACACACACTCTTGAAGATGTTGATGTCCTGCCCAGAAACGTTAGAAGTGAACGTTTAACAAGCTGGGGTCGGGAGACAGAGAGGTCGACCTGTTCTTAACGCGATGTCACAGGTGAAGTAAACGAATCTTTGTTCCTCTGTTGAGAGGAGGTGAGAAGTCAGAAGGCGAGCCTGCATCTTCTGGGGACAAGGGAACGCCGGCACTGTAGCTTCCACGGGGCAGAGTTTTGTTCTGAGGTGCATAGGGTTGCTATGGGTGGGGACTGACTCTATAGCACCCCAAAACAACCATCACATCACATTCCTGTGACCCTGAGGTTAGGGACTCCCAGAGAGTGGCACCGTTTCTTGTATGTAGTTAAAGCTTGAGGAAGACGCTAATCAAGCCCCTGTGGGGGGCTGCGCGCGGTGTGGGGGTCTGCATACCCAGCCTGCCCAGCACGGAGCTCTGGAGCCAGACTCCGGTTACCCCGCGCCGGCCGTCCGGGTGCGTCGGTCTCACTGGAAAGTTCCCTGGCTTTGCTTGTGAGGTAGCGAGCAGGCGACGATTGCTGTCCTTAATATCAAGGGCAACGCGGTTATTTCAAACCTCACGCTGAGCTCCCTCTTGCTGATCAGACTGGAACTCCCCAAGGCGGCACCTGGAATTTTTCCGTGATTTTTAAGATTTTTGGCGTGTCCACTGTGTCGTGGCGGCAGGCGATAAATCATAAATGACCTCAGCCTGCTGCACCACTCCTGGGGGAGGGGTCGGAAACTGGGGAAACCAGGGTAAGAAACCAGTGGGGACCCAGTGTCACCCCCACCTCCCCAATGTACTCAGTTCTGACCGAGAAAAAAGAAAACTGGCGGGATGGGAGTAGGGCATGGGGAAAATGGGCGGAAGGGAGCGCCGGCCGAGGGAGGAGCGAGAGGCGGAGCCCGCCGGCTTCTCTGATGCAAGCCCGACGCGGAAAGGCCTGGCGAGCACGGGACCACTTCGTCTCTGGGCGCCGGGCGCCCCCTGGTGGGGATCTTCCCGGGAACGCCTTTCCGTGCGCGGGGGTATTTCCAAACACCGCAATTCATGCAACAGAGAACCCTAAGAGGACGTGAAACCAAAGGGGAGCGGGCCAGGGTGGGGCCAGCCAGTCCCCCTTGGGGCTAGTCCCCAGCGTGTTGTTAACCTTCAGGCGCGATCCCTCCCTCCGGAGGGCTCCTTTCCCCTGCCACCTAGGGGCCAGAGCTAGGAAGGGAACGCAGCGCGAAGGGGAACGGGGCCCTGTTGCCTGCTGGGTGGGTGGCTCGCTCAGACGAGGTGGCTCCCGGGTCAGAGGAGGATAGGAGAGTGAGGAGACCAGGTCTAAGTACTCCCCTCCTGGAACACCCCCCCCCCCCGCCCCGTCTCCTAGGTCTCTACAAGGATCCGGCTCTGTACAGAGGCTCGAGGACCTAACCCAGGCGCGTTTTCGCTCGTGGAAGCGTGGCTGGGTCGCCAATGGGGCTGGGGGAGTGGGATGGGGGGATCCAGGCAAAACCACCGCTCTACTCTTCTGGGAGATGTGGGAGGCGCAGGGGAGAAAGGGAGGAGGGGGAGGCGCTCAGCGTGGCAGAATTCGTAGGAATTATCTTTTCCCTCCTTCACAGGACACCCTGCCTACTTCAAAAATTAGAGCGTGCTGAATACGTACTGGATTACTCATAGGGTTCTTCCACCACCACCCTTTTTTCCCCCCAGGCGCAAAACCGTGATCTGGATTTATAACCGCCCTATAAAGCTCCAGCGGCGGCCAGGCACCTGCACAGAGCTTCGCCAACGAGCTGCCCCCGCGCGCAGCGGCCTCGTGATTTCCCCGCGGAGCGGCTCCCCACCTCCCCCCGCCTCCTCCAAACCCAGCTGCCTCCCCGCGATCGCTCGCCTCTCCTCCAGACGCCCGCGTGCGGGACAGAGCTAGCCAGAGCGCGGCGGCAGCTGGAGGTGACACGGGGCAGACTGCGCCCGTGGCATTGCCAAGCGGATCACCGGGCGCTGCGCGAAGGAGAGACCGGAGCGCCTAGCCTCGTGGGAGCCCAGTGGAGGTGAGTAAGCGCGTCGCCAGCGGGGCTTCCTCAGCGTCCAGTCTGGGCCATTCACTTGGGGACCTTTTTGCCCGCACATTCTCGGTCACCTACCCTGTTCTCTAAAAGGCAGGGCGCTCTGCCTGCCCCAGCCCAGGCTCTCAGCGGCTCAGGACACCCGCCCGATCTCCGCCGCTGCGATTCGCGTCTTGCCCTGGGGCGGCTCGCGGGATCTGCCCCCCGGCTCTCCCCCGGTGAGCGCGCCCGCCTCGGCCGAGCCCAGCAGTCACGCCGGGCGCCAGTGTGTTTCGGAGCGGTAACCTGTTACTTCTCCCGCAGCCGCGAGCCGCCGGCCTTCGCTTTGCCCCGAGCGGCGTACGAGTGCTAGTGAGCCGCTCAGTGTGGGGCGGGGGAAGCAGGGGTGCGGGAAAGTGAGTGCAGGCGGCTAGCGCCCGGGCCTTTCGGCGGGGTCTTAGGTCTCCCCAGATTTGTCCGCTCTCCGCGTCCAGAGACTGTCGAATGCCGTCGCTCCAGCGCTGCGCGCCAGAGTGGGGCGCAGCGCAGCGCAGCGTTTGTCCCCGGACCGCTGCCTCCGGCGCGCGGGGCGCAAGTTCGTTGCCCTGGTGATTCTCCCCCTTTTTGCCTCCTCCACCCCCTTGGAGTCTGCGCGGCGAGAGATAATGGGGTCTTCCGAGAACTGGGTGAAGGAGAGAAAGCCCGAACCGAGGCTGTACCTTGCTCTAGCCTGCGATGTGGCTCAAAGAGGGTGGAACCAGAAGGAGGCCAGCGAGGTTCGACCCGCGGCTTTCTGGCCAGCTGGAGCACAGGGTGACCGCGACTCTTCCCCATGTGAACGCATCGCCTTTTCTCCCCCTCTCGCGTTGTCTCACCGAAGTCTCTGGTCTCCGGAGCAGATAGTGTCCTTCTTTCCAGGGAATTAGCCAGACACAACAACGGGAACCAGACACCTAACCAGACGTGCCCGCCCCGTGCGCCCTCCCCCC